GTGGGATCTGAAAAGTTCTCAGCCAGAACCACTTGACCATATTAGTATTCTAATGAATGAATACTGATAACTGCGCCAATAACATTTCAACACTGCTCATCCAAGTAATAATTTGGCCCAAATCCATGAGTTTGGAGAAAGTGTGTGTGTGTGTGTGTGGAGGGTGGGAGAGACAGATAGACAGTGTGTGTGTATGTGTGGAGGGGGGGGGGATGTGTGTGTGGGGGGGGAATGTGTGTGGTGTGTGTGGGGGGGGGGAATGTGTGTGTGTGTGTGGAGGGGGGGGATGTGTGTGTGTGTGTGGAGGGGGGAGGGGGGAATGTGGGGGGGGGGAATGTGTGTGTGTGTGGTGGGGGAGGGGGAATGTGTGTGTGTGTGTGGGGGGGAATGTGTGTGTGTGAGGGGGGATGTGGGAGGGGGGGTGTGTGTGTGGGGGGGTGTGTGGGGGGATGTGTGTGGGGGAATGTGGGGGGGGGGGGGGTGTGTATGTGTGGGGGGGGATGTGTGTGTATGTGAGTGTGTGTGTGCATGCGTGGGATGTGTAGCGGGAGAGTAAGAGAGAAAATGAAAATATTTTCTCGTATCGGACCCAAAATTAGGAAATTTGAAATGAAACTGTTATTATCCACCTTGCAAAACAATTAAGAAAAAAAAAATCTAGATTAAAAAAAGATTTTATTAGAAGTCGATGCTGAAAAGTACTCAGCCAGACCCACTTCCTGAGAGAGAATGTGTGTGTGTGTGTGTGTGTCTATGATGAGAGAAGGAGATGAACAATAAATATAATTTCCAACATGACACACAGCCGTCAGGAAACTTAAGCAACTTCACCTTTCACCTCCTGATGCCGCCTCCCATGTTAAAACCTATTTTATTGTTCATTTACTTTCCCGCCCGCCCGCCACACACACTCTCTCTCACTCCCACCACACACACTCTCTGTCTCTCTCTTTTACCCAACCACACACACATGCGCACGCACACATACACACATACACATACATACACACACACATACAAACACATTCTTTCTCTGCTACCCACCAAACGCTCAGTCTCTCTCTTTCGCAAACACTTTTTCTCGCAATCTCTCTCTTCCATACCCTACACTCTCTCTCTCTCTCTCTCCCTCCCTCCTTCTGAATTGTGGACAAATTGTTACTTGGACGAGATGCTGAAAAGTTATTGGCCCAACCCACCCCCTATAGTCATTTGTACAGTAGAATACTAATTTTAGGAAGCGGGTCAGAGTGAGAAATTTTCAGCACCCTTTTATAATACCCCCCCACACCTCTTAGACATTTTTTTTTGACTGAAATGAACAAGATGCAATATAATTATAAAGAAATCAGGATCCATAAACACTTTGAAATTGTTGTATCAAAATGTTTTCATTTCCAGAGTTCCTGTATATGGTAGATGCTGAAAAGGGCTTAGTCATAAGGAGTTACTCCACTTACTTTCCTAAAAAGAAAACGCCGCTAGGCGACGCTCCTTAAGTCTATAAATAGGAAGTGACCTTCTACCGTCCTCTTTTTCCTGTTTCACCCGGAGGCTCATAGAAGACTGTCGTTGAGGCTCATTCGCTTCCCTAGGCCCTCTGTTGACCTCTGAACTCTCTCTCTCACACAGATACATATATACACATGTATCTATGACACACGCTTGTTACACTTCTACACAAATACCTTCACTACTTTAAATGTTTTCTTTCTTATTCATGGCTTTTTCACATACAACAATATTCTATTGTCTATGTATACACTTGTTTTATTAATACATACTTACTGTTTGTGTGTGTGTAATATATATATACCTATACTTTGGCAGTGTGAAAAAAAACCCGGATAATACAATTTGTAAGTAAAAAATATATTTGAACAAACCGATATCAGGGGAAAAAATCAGTATAAAAGGAAAAGACTAAAGATATCTGTGTTAGTCGGAAATAATCAATCAGTACTGCAATGCCTAATCAAAAGAAAAAAAAACACTGACAGAGTAAATTAAGTAAAGACGTAAAAGTGCTCAATACACTAAGAGCAAAATCTAAAAATCCTAGTGAGCCAGAACCTACCTACCAAGGTTTTACTTAACGGATCCGCCATTTTTGTTGTTGGATAAATATACCAGAAGACACGTGTTTTCCAACCTAAAAACTTGTACACCCAAAACAGGCATAATCTTTTCAGCATCTTTTGTCTAGGTTTTTTTTTAAGCTTATATAATTCTTGGGTTGTGCAATAGATAGCACTTCACAATGAGAAATCAGAGAGCCGAGTTCAAAGTCCAGTCAGGTTTGTTATGATCCCTTAGGTGTAAATATCCTTGTGGATGGCATGAATGCAATTCTTCCTTCAGCTATGGGCTAAATAGGAGAACCTGTATCTGAAAAATATCTTTGTTATTCTAAAAAAAAAAAAAAAATACTGTCGTGTTAACGGAGGACAGAAAGTGTAACAGCAAAATTCAAAGGCGCATGACCATAACGAAAAATACCTTCCAAAAGCTAAGCAATATAAGAAACAGGAAAATTTGATTAGAAACAAAGAGTGCTGAAATGTTATGTAATATCAGTCCTCCTCTATAGCAACGAGTGCTGGACAGTCTACTCACAGATAAAGAAAAAAAAAACTTGAATCAACAGAGATGCGGTTCTATAGAAGAGATCGTTGAAATTTCTGGGGCACATAATGAGGAAAGACGGCTTGGAAAATCTGATCCTCAGAGGACAGATTGAAGGCAAGAGGGACAGAGGAAAATAACTCATGACTTATCGAGCTTGTGTAAATGGTTGCTAGAATCTAGATTAGGAAAGATATATATAAAATAGACAAAATTTACTAGTTTAATTTTCCCTTCCGCTTTTACTGTTAGGCGTCACGGGGAGACACAGTCGTATCTCAGCGGCAAGGCGAGTGACCTGGAAAAGAGATATCTCGTGGGCTCTGAGTATGTCTGCCACTGGGCCGCTCTAGCGTCTTCTTGGTCTGCCTCTCGCTCTCTAACCAGAGTAACTGATAGTGTATGTTCGTACCGCTGGTTGGTTGATAGACATACGAGTGAGGTATCCGAACCACCTGATCCTCTGTCATTCGATGTGTTGTATGATTGGTATTGCTCCTACCATATCTCTTATTGCCTCATTCTTGATCTTGTCTCGCCCGGTCTTGTTCACTGCTTTCCACAGGCATTTCATCTCACAAGTGATCTACTAATAGCTATAAAATACAGGATCGCCAACACCCTGAAGGACCACGGCACATACAAGAAGCCTTGAGGCTAAGTTTAAGGTAGTGACTGTGGGTAACTGATCTGCTCAAAAAAATATGTGGAAAATATAAATTTTTGTTGCTTAGCGTTCACTAGACCTTCCTGTAAGCGGAGACAAATTGAAAAATGTTTGGTTTTTATCATTTTACAATCGCAGTCCTGTTCATAATACATAAATAGCCTATAAAATACAATCAAGACAATTCTTAATTTTTAAAACAGTTATCTTGTTTTATTTGCAAATATCAGATGTGAAACTGGGTCCGTGTCATTGATAACTGCATGAGAAGTTTTCCTCCTTATTTTTTTTATTGCTTGTTTACTAATAGCCAATCAGTTATGTGCCATGCGTGATACACGCTTAGGTGATCATGTATCTCTCGATACATATTTTTCCCGCAGTACATTGCCATTTCTTTCTGCGGTAGAACGGTTGCCACCCAAAAGCTATGTAACCAGGTCTATCCTGTTATTTACCCAAAGCTGGAGGAAGAAGAGGATACATATCTTTCCCCAAGGGTATTAGCACGTAAATGAATGTAATGGAATTCGAACTCGGCTCTCCGATTCTTCAATCCGAGCCGTTATCTATTACTCCACGTGCTAATATTACGTGCTAATAGTAAACATCCAATAGTAAATATTGTCTCGGTGTAGAGTTGAATAGGTTCACTATCAGTCCTCTTTATGCTTTATAGCGAAGTCAGGAGGTAAATATAAATTCGGTTTACAGTTGAATAAGCTAAACACTGGTTTACTTTATGCTTATGCCAAAAGGCAAATAACGCTCCAGTTAGCACACACGCATGCGCATATAAAAGAATATGTATCTACGCGCTGTAAACAGTATAAAAATTGATATTCTTTGCTCATTAATGGAAAGCAATAAAAAATATTTGGATTACCAATCAATCATGTCAGTCCATTATATTCAGCTGCAAATTACTTCATTCTTGCTATCATTTTTGGAATTTTTGCCAAGAAGAGGTTTTTTTTTTTTTTTTTTTTGCATTACACGGAAAATATGTCTTAATGATTTTCTCAACTTGTCTTTTCATTTGTCAGTCTATGAGGGATATTGTGCAAATTTATACGATTATAGCTCTCCAAAGATTCCTGTCCTTTTAGATATATAAATAGTCTTCCGCTGTTATTTCTCCTAAACTTTGCCCCACAATCCATTTACACAAGCTCGCTAGGTAGGTTATGCGTTGTTTTTTGTCTCTTTTTGCTTTCAATCTGTCCCGTGAGTATCAGATTTTCCAAGCCCTCTATCCTCATTATGTGGCTTGAAATTTCAACGGTCTCTCCTTGATATTAAGTATAAGTGTACTTTTTGTTTCCATTTTCTCTAAAATTTCATCGTTACTCACATATTCGGTCCCTGATATTCTCATCATCCTTCTGTAGAACCACATATCTATTGCTTCACGTTTCTTCTTCATCTGTGCGGAGATTGTCCACCATTCACTGTCATATAGGATGACTGATATTACATAACTGTTTTTTGTTGTTGTTTTTTTTAATTAAAATCCTCTCGGCCTGTGAAGGTCCTTTGCTGGACGTGGGCTTGCCCCAGATTCATAGGGTGGGGAATGAGCCATTGTCTTACTGCACTGACCCAATATGTGTTGGTAGTGGGCAGATGTGATCCACATGATTCATATGAACCTAATGAACCTGACCAGAATTCAAACTTAACTCCCCAGTTTCTCATTCTGAGGATGACCTGGTATTCCTTATCAGTCACTCATCCAGGTACTGACCAGGCTTGAGGTTGCTTAACTTTGGTGATCGTACGAGAACCGGCGTTTTGATTGACATGTTTTTTTATTGTAATTTAAAGGTTTAAACAAATTCTTTTTTATCTGTACTCTTCATGAAGGGAATGATCATGGCTCTCCATAGCTTCCTGTTATTTGCTGCTGTCCTTGAAAAAGTTCTAGATGCAAATTTTGAATGGGAGATATCAGAATACAGTAAGTTCAGAAATATCTACGAAGTGTTTTAACAGAGGATGGAAAATGTGACACCACATTGAAGATTCAAAAGCTAAGCAAAGAAACAGGAAAATTTTGTTAGAAATAAAGTAATAGACTGCCGTATACAGGAAGGAAAGGAAAATATCGATTCATGCCTTTCCTAAAGTCATTAGCGCAAAAGTGAACAGAACAGGTTGAGCCAAAATTTGAAACCTGTTAGTGAAGCTAAAACGTGCACTGTTATGACATATATATATATATATATATATATATATATATATATATATAGTGGGGTATCAGCAAAATTGTCCAATTGTTAAATTAAGCTTTGAACTATTGTATCTTAGAAAGGACTAAAGCTATCATTGAAATTCTGTTTTTATAACACTATTGCACCGATGATTTGAGCCATAGGGATGCATAATTAATTACTCTCCAAGCTTAATAGAAGAATCGTGATGAAATTGATCGTAAACGAAAATGACATGGTCATCATTAATTAATCATATAAAGATCAAAGTATTTAACGAGTACACACACACACACACACACACACACACACACATATATATATATATATATATATATATATATATATATATATATATATTATATTGAGATCATTTTCCAACTTACTCAAGATGATTTTCGCCTTCTCTAATCTAACTTTCTGTCCTAGACTAACAAAGTGCCTCATATGTTTCACGTAAGATTTCATTTTCAACTATTTTTTCACTGACTTTGGGAAAGGCATGAATCGATATTTTCCTTTCCTTCCTATCTACGGCAGTCCATTACTTTATTTCTAACAAAATTTTCCAGTTTCTTTGCTTAGCTTTTGAAAGGCATCTTTTGCCCTTCCAATGTACTTTCGGATTTCGGTGTCACATTTTCCATCCTCTGTTAAAAGGGCTGTCATAGCTGGAACCCCTCTCTCACGCGCCAAACGTCTTATAAATTGAGTTGAATCTTTTATTTTTAATTGATCTCTTTAGCTCTAAGTTGAAATGATGATCCCTCTTGCTGTTTACTTGATCCAGTTTTTCTCTTCACTGTTCCCCTCTTTTTTCTTAAATTTATTCACCGTTCTCTTGATGGTTCTTGAATGGACTTTGAAGATGGAAGAACATGAACCATTCTGAATGATCTTTTTCCTCTCACTATTGCTCAGTAACAAATCGATTTTAACCTGTTCACTTTCTAGCTGAATAACTGAGTGTTTTCAGTGATTCTTACGACAAATGGTATCAAGATGACTAAACGTTTTATCTGAAAACCTGGAAAAGAGAAATTCAATAAGTTTAGTGCTTTTTAGATATTAAACCTTTTGTGGAATGGATAATTATGCTGTCACACACAAACACACACACATATATATGTATATACAGTGGGTAGCAAAAGTATTTAACACATTGGTTTTTCTTAAATATCTCAAAAAATAACAGATCAATTTCAACGAAACTTATAGGAAATATTTAAACGAACATTGTCGATCAAAACATAGAAGTAAAAATTTAAAACCACTGTTTTGAGAAACATTTATTAACAATAAATAAAATAAGCCATATGCAAAAGTATTTAACACCAATGCAAATATTATGCTAGAAGAGACATGTCGTCATGATTCCTACCCATATTGATATGATGTGATATGTCGACCAATCACAGAACTTCACGACACTCAACTGGCTATTAGATAACAGCTCTGAGACACTGCAGCTATTCTGTTGCCACTACTGCAAGAAAATGGTGAAAACAAAAGAATTGTCGAACGACATGCGCAAGAAGATCATAAAGAATCACAAAGATGGTAAGGGATATAGAAAAATCGCTCAAGATTTGAATTTGCTTGTGACTACAATTGGTGCTGTTCGAAAATGGAAAAAATGCGATACTATTGAAAACATTCAAAGGAGTGGTCGTCCCCGTATCTTAAATGAGGCTAATGAGCGATACATTTCCCGTACTGTGAAGAAAAATCTTTGGGACATGGTCGTGATTTTGTATTTCAGCAAGACAATGACCCGAAGCATACTGCTAAAACAACTAAGAATTGGTTTAATAATAATGACATTAATGTCCTGGAATGGCCAAGCCAGTCACCGGATTTAAATCCAATCGAAAATTTGTGGAAACTATTGAAGTTACGAGTTCATAAAAGAAATCCATCGAATTTAAACAAATTGAAGATAATTTGTGAAGAGGAATGGGTCAAAATACCAACAAGTACCTGCAAGAAACTAGTTGAAGACTACGGGAAACGACCTGAGGCTGTGAAGCAGAACAGAGGCTACTGTACTAAATATTAGTAAAGTGTGTTAAATACTTTTGCATATGGCTTATTTTATTTATTGTTAATAAATGTTTCTCAAAACAGTGGTTTTAAATTTTCCTTCTATGTTTTGATCGACAATGTTCGTTTAAATATTTCCTATAGGTTTCGTTGAAATTGATCTGTTATTTTTGAGATGTAAGAAAAACCAATGTGTTAAATACTTTTGTTACCCACTATATATATATATATATATATATATATATATATATATATAATATCGTGTGTGTGTGTGTGAAAAATGTGACAAAGTGGAAAAAGTTTTTCTTGCGACCTGTTTCATCCTTTAGGACTAAATTTGTTATGTTGGTGCGACTACACATGCGCATCAACAAGGAATGCTGGGAATTAAAAAAATAATCTAGACCATTTTATTTCGATTCTTTTTCTTTCCATTTACTTTTGTTAGTCAATATCCTTGGTCTTATGGTAGGAAAAAAATTCCTAACGACTAGGTTACATGTCCATAGTGTGTGTGTGTATATATATATATAAAACAAAAGGGAAAATTAGTCGATGCGTTTCGTCATCTGAGTGACTTTGTCAAGGCAAATGTAAGGATTTTATTTTGTGACAAGTATTTATATACAAGAACATATATATGGGGGAAAATCTGTGACAAAGTGGAAAAAAAACAACTTTTCTTGCGACCCGTTTCGTCCTTTAGGACATTATAGGACTAAATTTGTTATGTTGGTGCAACTACACATGCGCACCAACAAGGAATGCTGGGAACTTAAAAAAAAATCTAGACGATTTTATTTTGATTCTTTTTCTTTCCATTACTTTTGTTAGTCAATATCCCACACTATGATAATAGAAATTTTGACAGTTATAATGAAATGTTGTAAGAGCCAAATTGCAAATTTATTGTAGATGACCTTGAGATCAAGGCACTCCCAAGACATATTCATCATAGTGAATTTTTTTCTCCTTTGATAGGAAAATATTTCAAGTCAAATGTTTCTTCTGTAACAGGGTTAGTCCTTCAAGAGTTCATCAGACTAAATTGATGTTTATACTGATGTGATTACGCATGCGCAGCATCCCCCTCGTCTTCATGTTCATATGTAATCACTTCAACGTAAGCATCTCTTTTAGTCAGATGAAGTCTTAAAGCATAAAAGGCATCATAAATCTTTTTCTGTTTTCTCATAGATTTTCCTAATATGTGTGAAAGTTTTTAGAAGTTATATAACAAAATGAATATAGTAGGACGAAACAAATATTCGTGTACATACAATTTTTTTAATTTATTGTATTTACAACTAATGAATAAACATACTTTTTCATATAATTAATTGTACACAGATGCATAATAACAATATACACAGAGAACAGAAAAAATTGATTTAATACAAATAAATCACATTTATCCATTTTAATGGGTGAAAAATTAATTCGTACAATAGGAAAAAACAATCTTTATTTAATACTTTAGAATAACCATTATTCACTTCTACAGCAACCAACCTCTTCTTGTATTTCTCAATTAATGATTTGCAAATTTTAGTTGGTATTTTGTTCCATTCCTCTTCGCATATGGTCTTCAGATCCGGGATGTTTGTTGGAGCTCACGATTGGATTTGAATTTTCAAATAAGGCCACATATTCTCGATTGGGTTTAAATCTGTGGACTGATTTGGCCATTTCAGGATATTTGCATTATTTTCAGCAACCAATTTCTTCATAGATTTTGCAGTGTGCTTATGATCATTATTTTATTGGAGGATCCATTCAGGAGGAAGTTCAAGATTTTCAACAAAAATCATTAAACTTGCTTCTAAAATAATTTGATAAGCTGTGGCATTCATTCTACCATCTATTACTGATATGTTGCCAGTGCCTTTTGCAGAAAAAAAAACATCCCCAAAACATGATGCTGCCACCACCAAATCTCACTGTTAGAATTGTGTTCTTTTAGTTTGAAGGCATCGTCATCTATCCTCCATACATGATTTCTAGAATTATGTCGAAACAACTCAATTTTGTTTTCGTCTGTCCAAATTACTTTTTCTCAATATGATTTTCCTTTATGGTCACGAACGAATTTCAACCTGACATCTCTGTGTCTTTTCAGTAACAATGGAGTTTTCTGAGGGAAGCGTGACTTTAGATTGTTCCTTTTTAATTTCATTATTTATTGTCCGCTTAGTGACACAGATTCTTGATGAAAGCAAATCAGCCTGCAACTCTTGACATGTAACCATTTGAATTTTGTTTAACTTAACGCATTAATTTCCTCGAAGATCTTGAAGAAATCTTCCGTGGAGCACATGTTCTTCGCTTTTCAACAATTTTGAGTTTTTAGAATATTCCACTTGAATAATCTAGAGTAGTAAAGCAATTTAAAAGTTTTAAAATCTGAAATTTGCATTGTACGAATACTTTTTTTCACCCATTAAAATAGATAAACGGAATTTATTTCTATTAAATCAATTTTTTCTGTTCTCTGTGTATATTCAGTTATACATCTGTGTACAGTTAATTATATGAAAAGT